GATTGAAGTGTTGGAGTGAAGTATATTTACTGATTTCTTTTTAAAAATATTTTTTATTACAATTTTAAAAAACAAAGTGTATTTGTTTAAATGTAATTTAATTGTATTTCACAGGGTTTCCGTGGGTCCTTAAAAAGTCTTAAATATAGTTGTATCAAATTTAAGGCCATAAAAAGTCTTAAATTGCACAAGAAAGTCTTAATTATGATTTCAGGAGGTCTTAAATTTGGGGACAGAAAGACCAGATTTGCGATATGGCTTAATGTGACGATTAAACTTCAAAAGGCTATGATTTCATTAAATAATTTATATTATTTATTTATATCATTAATTAATAATCTAATTTATTTCAATATATCTATATATATCTCTCTCTATATATCTATCTGTCTATCTCTCTCTCTCTCTCATATACTGTATATGTACATATATATGTATTCATTAGCCGCAGCGCAGCACTTCACATCTGATTAAAGTGCAGTAAACGGTAAAACAATTGCGGTACAAATTAATGTGTTTATTAGTACATTAATAAATTTAAAATAATTTGAATACAAATACTAGTTTACAACATCCAGCAGCACAGTTGTTTTGCACAGCTAAATAGGCTAAATGGAGATTGCTGACATCGCCTCACACACTCAAGTTCACGCCAGCTCTTACATCAAAAATAAGATGGAAAGATAAAAAATGAATCATTTCCATTGATCTAGTCTTTGCATCTGTTTGTTTGATGTTTGAATCAGGTCTTCTCTGTTGGAATAGAATTGGCTAGATGGCACTGTCACAAAAAATAGGGTTCTAGTAGAAATGCGGTCCTGAAACTGCAACCTATGGTGTTGCAGGAACACAGTATTGGGGTTGTTTTTGTTCAGACCAATGTTAAAATCTACCCATGTTTTTACCCTGCAAACACGCAGAGCTGTAAATGTGAACTGGTGGATCGATAAGAAGATAATTCATTATAAAAATCTAAACGGTAAAATGTTATGTTAAAATATGTTATTTAATTAATATAATAGTTTAATGATAATAATTGTTTAAATTAATATAATAATACTTTTGACTCATCCATTTTATTAAAACGTTTCTATTAAAAACGATTAAAAAATAGTTTAAAAGCTGAAATGTGAAGTGTATCATTTTTTAAAACGTTTTGTTTTTGTGAAAACTTGTATCTGAACTGTAAATCATGTTTTTTACAGTCATTCTACAGTTTAATATGATACTAAAGACATTGCCCTACCCCTGCTCATATGGTATTCATTTTATTTGTGCAGGTCTTAAAAAGTCTTAAATTTGAGCTTAAAAATCCTGCAGAAACCCTGATTTAAAATATGCATTCATTCTTTCATTTCACAATCTCAAAGACTGCTTGTAGTTCTATAGCAAACCCTAGGTTGTGAGACCCTTTATGTATCATTCATAGTGTCCTCAATATGCCACACAACCTTATCATGAAACTCTACATCTGCAGGTTCAAAATTCCTGGCCTGAAAAGGGCCGAGTTGAGTTTATGGGTGCTGTTTTGGCGTACCAACCGGGCTTGCCCAATGCTCTTGATGGGGTCAACCTGGAGGTATTACCTGGTGAGAGGGTGGGCATTGTGGGGCGTACAGGCTCAGGGAAATCCTCACTGTTCCTTGCCCTATTCCGTATGGTGGAGCTGAACCAGGGTCAAATCCTGCTGGATGGAGTTGACATCAGCTCGGTCAGGCTTAGTAACTTGCGGTAAGGCTTAAGTCACTGTTTGACACTTTTCTATTCTATTAGAGAGATTACACTAACATTTAAAGGTTTAGGGTATCGGTAAGTTTTTTTCTTCTTTTATTATTCAACAAGGAGGATGCATTAAATTAATCAAAAGTGACACTAAAGATGTTTGTAACATTACAGAAGATATAAAATGCTGTTTCAAATAAATGCTGTTCTTTTGAACTTTCTATTTCCCAAAGAACAATGAACAACATTGATAATAATAACAAATCTTTCTTGAGCAACAAATCAGCATATTAAAATGATATCTGGATCATGTGACACTGAAGGCAGGAGTAATGATGCTGAAAATTCAGCTTTGCATCACAGGAATAAATTACATTTTAAAATATATTAGAATAGAAAACTGCTCTTTTAAATTGTAATAATATTTCAGAATATTATGGTTTTACTGTATTTTTTTTATCAATTAAATGCAGCCTTGGTGAGCATAAGAGACTTAAATACATTAAAAACATTTTTAAAAATTACGGACCACCAACCTTATAAATACTATAAACATAGCTAGGATGTATTATATTGCACAGTTTTTTTCTTTCATTGTGTTAATTTATTAATTAAGTAATATTATAATTAATATTAATAAAAAAAAAAATTTCGCTTATAGGCCTATTTATTCCTTTTACTGTATATGTAAATAACTTTTTGTTTTTCGCAAAAGCGCTGCAGGTGCTGAAATTAACATTCTACTTATGTTGTAAAATGCACTTGTCTTCGTTTTAAATTATTCAAAATCCTGAAACTTCTTCCAGAAATAATTTCCAGGTTTAAAGTAGGTGTTTCAGTGTGTTTTTAATATGGTCTCTACATATAGTAAGAATTTGTTTTGTTTGTGTCGCCCTCTATAGATCCAAGCTGGCCATCATCCCTCAGGATCCCTTCCTCTTCTCCAGCTCAGTGCCAGAGAACCTTGATCCCCATGGCCTTCATCCAGACTTCCATTTTGGAGAGAGGGGAAAGTCTGTCTGTGGGCCAGAGGCAGTGACGTGACACGTGAATTAGTGCTCTGCATTGAACCCATCCAAAGTACACACACCGTGAACACACACCCAGCCATTTATGCTTGGCGCCCGGGGAGCAGTTGGGGGTGCTCAAGGGCACCTCAGTCGTGGTATTGAAGGTGGGAGAGAGCGCTGTACATTCACTCCCCCCCACCTACAATCCCTGCCGGTAGGAGACTCGAACTAACCATTAGGCCACAACTTCCCCTGGCAGTTGCTGTGTCTTGCCCGTGCTCTGCTCACAGAAGCTAATGTATAAAACTAATGTATAATTAAAGTAGAACATAAACAATGTAAAACAAATGTCTGTTATTCTTATCTTAACTGTAGCGAATCAGCTCATGGGGAAATATGAATAATTAACCATAACTAGTTATAATTAACTATTCATATATTAGATCCACTGTAGATATTTAGCTGACCACTCAGGGTCAACTGTCTTGTCAATTCTAAGACGTTAATTTCCTGGTTAAGGGAAATAACTTTCTTACTGTACAATTCTATAAGCTTGTAACGTAAATCTGCATGATTATTGACTCCGGTTATGAGTAAACAATGAACACGTCAAGTGTGATACAAGTAAGGTTTTATTAACTACATAAACACTTAAACTAGTCCACGCCACTCTCTCGTGAACACGTGTACAACAGTTAGAGGAAGCTAGAGATTACGATGTATAGTTTTAAATATTAAATATTATTTTTCTTGCACAAATGCATGAATTCACTTCTGAAGGCCTTTAGTAACCCCCCCGGAGCCGTGTGGAGTATGATTTATGATAGATGGATGCACTTTTTTTGCTTCAAAATTTCAACACCCATTCATTGCCATTATAAAGCTTGGAAGAGCCAGGACATTTTTTAACATAACTCTGACTGTATTCGTTTGAAAGAAGAAAGTCATATACACGTAGAATGGCTTGAGGGCGAGTAAATCATGGGCTAATTTTAATTTTTGGGTGAACTATCCCTTTAATTTGTGGTGCTTCTAATTAAGTGATAAAAAGCAGTTGCAAATGTTGTACAAAATAAATATCACCACTACTTTTTAACATAACTCTGACTGTATTCGTTTGAAAGAAGAAAGTCATATACACGTAGAATGGCTTGAGGGCGAGTAAATCATGGGCTAATTTTAATTTTTGGGTGAACTATCCCTTTAATTTCGTTTTTGGGTGTCTTGCTGTCTGATTAACACCACTCAAAGAAACAAAACCTAGAGACCCATTTTTTCAACTACCTGTTCCATCTACATTTTGAATTAACATAGCATGTCGTTTAGTTGAAATACCTGTCAAGAACGTCTCTGTTACCATACAAACCCCACCAGTCTTTCTTATCCCACAGACTGAATACAATCATGGACTCTGACAGAGTGCTGGTGATGCATGCTGGGAAGATGGAGGAGTTTGACAGCCTGCTGCTCTGTGCCAAAGAGAAGACTCTGTTTTCCAGAAACTCTTACGTGGAAGGGAAGACTGAATTTAAAATACTGTACTTTCAGCTAAGAATGTAGTTGGAGTCCATGTGCAATGGACAAAAAACATTGGATATGTGCAAATACCTGTATGTTATACCATGTAGAACAATGTAAAACTCAGGGAAAATTGTTTGTTGTTTTATAAATGGTCACAGTTGTATGGATAAAAATGTGTTTTAGAAGTAAATGTTTGTTTGTCTTTAATTATTGGTCTGTTTTCAGATTTCCATTTTTTTATGATTAATTTGTCTTCAGGAGGATCTACTCAAAGTAGTTTTTCCCTCTTGGAGCAGGTAAAAAAGTTTTTTTTTTTTTTTTTTTTTCGTTCTTGCAAACTAAAGTGTGAGAGTCAAACTGTTCTAATATTTATTTCTGTGGTTTGAATGCTTTCTCTCTTCCGAGAATTTACAATGCATAACTGATTTCATTAGAGGTGTGAACGCTCATATCAACCTGGGTGAGAGTGACTACGCCTTGTACAGGTGGCCGTTTCCCAACTTGTATGAGTCATGTGGGAGTACATGTGTGCATAGTTTAATCTTTTTTTAACCATTCCTTTTGATTTCCTCCCATCAATCTAGAATTAGGGAGAGGTTTGTTATTGTTATGTCACCCTGCCTCCAGTGCAGAACAGGTGATGCTGAAGCTTTATGAGGTATGTGTTTGGCCTGGTTAAACCAGTTGGTCTACTCTTCAAGTGTATTACCTGCCGCGGTGAGAATTCCATAAACAGTGAGAAGAGAACGGAGGTAAACACGGTCACATCAAGTGAAAACTCTTCAGCATGGCACATTATCACTGCTGATATTGAACAAGGATTTAAAAGCTCATAGGATACAAGGTAAGCCGTTTCATTGTTGTTCAAATTTACAACAGTACTTTGAACTGTGCTATGTTGCGTAAAACAGCCCATATGGTATTGAAAGTAAAATTTAGTCGTCTAGCAAGCGCAGGTGTTCAGCTGTTTTTGTTATGAATGACTATGCAGCGCTCACACAGTGGTTCAATGTATTCATATTACAAATTGCACTTAAGTTGTGACTATTAAAGTATTGCACAGTGATGGTTTCAAGACATTTAAAGTTGTGAATGAGTACAATAACATTATTTTTGGGGGGATCATGTTTTCTAAATATTGTTACTGACTATTGAAAAAAAATTCTGAAGCACATTTTCAGGTACTGTACCTTTAATTTGTGTTTACTGTAAATATACAGGTTAATAAATTGGTTTTGTGCATGTTAAATAGATGATATACTGTAGATAATAGTTACTGGATGCTTTTTAAAATCTGTTTCAATGAAATGAGACCATTTTAATTAAATAGATGAACAGATTATCAAAATATGTGCCCTTACAGATGATCATGGGTGGACCTGGTACCTCTACAATTATGCATGTTTAATAAAGAGGGTGTGGTTAAAAAAGTAAGGTCTGTTCACAGTTTCCTTTGTCTGGCCTAACCTGTTCCCAACGCCCTCTTGTTACACTATCCCTGAACAATTCCTTGAATACCTCACAGTTTCGTATGTCTGCCACTGGGATAAATGCAGACTTTGCAGAAGTGCAGAATTTGAATTAAATTAGTGCTGTTTGCTCAGTCTTGCTTCATTCTGAGGCAAGGACATTTTTCATTCAATGATTGACCCATATGTTTATAGTTCACATGTTCAGGTCTGTCATTGCATTATGACCAACCATTAACAATTGCATATGTGTCAATAATAATTAGCACTGAATCTTGGGTGTCTTGCTGCTGCTGAATCATTTATTTTGCATCAACAGGTTTGAGTTTTGGATGCTTCACTGTAAATACATACTAGTGAAATGGTATGTTATCTCTTTTTTTTTATCCAATCTGTATCTGAACTATATTGTGTTTGTTGTTTGCTCAGTCTTGCTTCATTCTGAGGCAAGGACATTTTTCATTCAATGATTATTCAATGATATGTTTATAGTTCACATGTTCAGGTCTGTCATTGCATTATGACCAACCATTAACAATTGCATATGTGTCAATAATAATTAGCACTGAATCTTGGGTGTCTTGCTGCTGCTGAATCATTTATTTTGCATCAACAGGTTTGAGTTTTGGATGCTTCACTGTAAATACATACTAGTGAAATGGTATGTTATCTCTTTTTTTTTATCCAATCTGTATCTGAACTATATTGTGTTTGTGTGATCTATCAAATATTTTGTAAAGTCTATGTGTATGTCATTATTAGGAATAAATGTTAAATGAATTAATAATTAAATATTAGTAGTGCAGTTGGCAGTATATGTTTCTCATCAAAAATCTTTCATTGTGGTTTTTATTATTTTTCTCATCAAAAATCTTTCATTGTGGTTTTTATTCTTTTTCTCATCAAAAATCTTTCATTGTGTTTTTTTTTTTCTATACATGCATTTAATTTCATGAAATATGAAAAGAAAATACACCATGATATTATCTAATTTGCAGGCTCTTCTTCGAAGAAGCCTCTCTGACAGCCTGCTGCTTGAAGATGACTATGTCTCTGTGAATCATTTATTTTGCATCAACAGGTTTGAGTTTTGGATGCTTCACTGTAAATACATACTAGTGAAATGGTATGTTATCTCTTTTTTTTATCCAATCTGTATCTGAACTATATTTTGTTTGTGTGATCTATCAAATATGTTGTAAAGTCTATGTGTATGTCATTATTAGGAATAAATGTTAAATGAATTAATAATTAAATATTAGTAGTGCAGTTGGCAGTATATGTTTCTCATCAAAAATCTTTCATTGTGGTTTTTATTATTTTTCTCATCAAAAATCTTTCATTGTGGTTTTTATTCTTTTTCTCATCAAAAATCTTTCATTGTGTTTTTTTTTTTCTATACATGCATTTAATTTCATGAAATATGAAAAGAAAATACACCATGATATTATCTAATTTGCAGGCTCTTCTTCGAAGAAGCCTCTCTGACAGCCTGCTGCTTGAAGATGACTATGTCTCTGTAGAGGGTTTGGAATACACGGACGTGCACTTTCATGAAGGTGCAGTTTCATGACATTCGAATAAGAATATTTTTTGCATATCATTGTATATTAACTGAGCATCAGATTGCTGGTACTGTTACAGAAAACTTTTACTGTGGAGAAAATGGCTTTTGACATGAACCTTGTTGATATGGTGAAAATACAAGGAAAAGTGTTTATAATAAACTACATTGCACATTACATTTTAATTTCAGATTATGAAATTGTGGGTGCCAGTGGTCTGTTTGATCTAAAGAGGAATGAACAAAAGAAGAATGAAGCTGTGGACATTTTGAAGTTAATTGATAATGACAAGGAGTTAATGAAGCATGGTTTGAAATCCAGCAAGAGCTTGGAAAGTCTGGATACCAAAGCTCCTAATGAGGTCTGTGTACATCACATTCACAGTTGTTTTTCAACCCTGAATCATAAAACCCCCAAACAAATTAATTTGTAATGATTCAAATGTTTCAACAGGTGTGGAAAGATTCATACGACAAGCTCTACAATGCTAAAGTCAAGAAATTCATGAAAGGAAATAAAGCTGTTAAGGAAAACAGACATGGCAGACACAATGGGCCAGTGACAACCCAAACACTTGACCGCAAAAGCAAAGTAAATGTTGCAGCTTTACTTGAGAATGCAGATCAGATGCGTCTCACTCCATATGAAACAGAACCTGACAATCAAGTAGGACCATACATGGAATATCATCAATATGACTCAGATACGTTACTACAAGGATCTGACCTGGTGAGATCAGCAAAGATAAAACCCAATATTGCAAGTGATGTTCCATCGCATCATTCCACAATGAACTTGACCAATGTTGATAGTGAAATCAACCTACGCGGTGGAACATATACAGATCCAAAAGTAGATATTGGTATTAATATACCAGATTCAAGTCTTACATTGCCAGATACCCAAAGATCTCCGGTGATGCACCTCACAAAAGGACATTTTAAAGGCCCAAAAGCAGTGCTTAATTCTTCTGATATGGATATGGAAGTACCATCAGTTAATGTCAAGAAGCCAAAATTTAAAATGCCAAAGTTTAGCCTATCTGGAAACAAGAATACTGACATCAGTTATGATGGAAGTATGAAGGGGTCAAAATTTGCATTGTCATCCCCTGAAGTAGCTCCAGGTCTTAAGGGTTCTAATATACAAATTGATGGACCAAAGGCTGATTTTAAAGGTCTAAAAACAGACCTTCCAGACATGGACATGTCATCTGGAAAACTGAAAGCACCCACTTTCAGCTTCCCTGATTTTGGCCTGTCAGGACCCAAAATAAAAACACCTGACTATGATCTAAAGACCCCTAAAATGAATCTGTCTGCTCCCAAATTTAAGGCAGATTTTGATTCACCAGACATCAACATCAGAGGTCATAAGCCAGATATCACCGCACCTGACATGGATGTGAATATTCCTGAAGGTACATTTAAAGGACCAAATTTCAAGAAACCCAATCTTGACTTGAATGCACCTGACCTCGACATAAATGTTCCTTCTGGTAACCTGAAGCTGCCAAAATTTGGTTTCTCTGGTAGCAAGCCAGAAGGACCTGATCTTAAAATCAAATCTCCAGACCTGAATCTCAAAAGCCCCAAAATAAAGGGAGGAATCGATACCCCAGATATGGATCTGACTCTGCCTCAAACTGATTTGAAAGGCCCAAATCTAGATTTCAGAACACCTGATATTGATGTTAATAGCCCTTCAGGGAAATTTAATATGCCAAAGTTAAAGATGCCCAGTTTTGGCCTGTCAGGTTTGAAAGGTCCACATATGAACATGGATGCTGACATTGATAAGCCTGACGTTAATCTAAGTGCATCAACTCCCAGGCTAAATGCAGGGATAAATAGTCCTGACATTGACATTCACAGACCTAATGTTGATCTCAAAGGACCAAAAACAGATCTTACACTCCCTGACATGGACATACCATCTGGAAAAATGAAAGTTCCAACTTTCAAGATGCCTGATTTTGGTCTCTCTGGAACCAAAATAAAGACTCCTGACTGTGATCTGAAAAACCCTGAAATGGATCTGTCAGCTCCAAAGTTTAAGGCAGACTTTGATTCACCAGACATTAACATCAGAGGTCATAAGCCAGATATCAAAACCCCAGACTTGAATGTTGATTTCCCTAAAGGTCAAATTAAAGGACCAAATTTCAAGAAACCTAATCTTGATGTGAACGCACCTGATCTCGACATAAATGCCCCTTCAGGTAAACTAAAGCTGCCAAAGTTTGGCATCTCCGGTAGTAAGCAAAAAGGGCCCGATCTTAAAATCAAATCTCCAGACCTGAATCTCAAAAGCCCCAAAATAAAGGGAGGAATTGATACCCCAGATATGGATCTGACTTTCCCTCAAACTGATTTAAAAGGCCCAAACCTAGATATCAAATCCCCTGATATTGATGTCAGTGGCCCTTCAGGGAAATTGAATATGCCAAAGCTAAAGATGCCCAGTTTTGGCCTGTCAGGTTTGAAAGGGCCACATATGAACATGGATGCAGACATTGATCAGTCTGACCTTAATCTAAGTGCATCAACTCCCAAACTAAATGCAGGAATAAATAGTCCTGATATTGACATTCATGGACCTAATGTTGATCTCAAGGGTCCAAAAACAGACCTTACTCTTCCAGACATTGACAGGCCTTCTGGAAAAATGAAAATGCCCAATTTCAAGATGCCTGATTTTGGTCTCTCAGCACCAAAAATAAAGACACCTGATTATGATCTGAAGACTCCTGAATTGGATCTGTCAGCTCCAAAGTTTAAGGCAAACTTTGATTCCCCAGACATAAACATCAGAGGTCATAATCCAGATCTCACAGCACCTGACATGAATGTTGATTTCCCAAAAGGTAAAATTAAAGGACCAAATTTCAAGAAACCAAATCTTGATATGAATGGACTTGGCCTTGACATCAATGCTCCTTCAAATAAACTGAAGCTGCCAAAATTTGGCTTTTCTGGTAGTAAGCCAAAAGGGCCTGATCTTAAAATCAAATCTCCAGACCTGAATCTCAAAAGCCCCAAAATTAAGGGAGGAATTGATACCCCAGACATGGATCTGACTCTGCCTAAAACTGATTTAAGAGGCCCTAACTTTGATATCAAATCACCAGATATTGATGTCAATGGCCCTTCAGGCAAATTGAATATGCCAAAGTTTAAGATGCCCAGTTTTGGCATGTCAGGTTTGAAAGGGCCACATATGAATGTGGATGCTGACATTGATCAGCCCGACTTTAATCTGAGTGCATCAACTCCTAAACTAAATGCAGGGATAAATAGTCCTGATATTGATTTGCATGGACCTAATGTTGATCTTAAAGGTCGAAGAACAGACCTTACCCTTCCAGACATTGACAAGCCTTCTGGAAAATTTAAAATGCCCACTTTAAAGATGCCTAAGTTTGGTGTCTCAGGACCAAAACTAAAGACGCCTGACTATGATTTAAAGACCCCTGAAATGGATCTGTCAGCTCCAAAGTTTAAGGAAAGTTTAAGATGCCCAGTTTTGGCATGTCAGGTTTGAAAGGGCCACATATGAATGTGGATGCTGACATTGATCGGCCCGACCTTAATCTGAGTGCATCAACTCCTAAAATAAATGCAGGGATAAATAGTCCTGATATTGATTTGCATGGACCTAATGTTGATCTTAAAGGTCCAAGAACAGACCTTACACTTCCAGACATTGACAAGCCTTCTGGAAAATTTAAAATGCCCACTTTAAAGATGCCTAAGTTTGGTGTCTCAGGACCAAAACTAAAGACGCCTGGCTATGATTTAAAGACCCCTGAAATGGATCTGTCAGCACCAAAGTTTAAGGGTGCTTTTGATTCCCCAGACCTGAATCTCAAAAGCCCCAATATAAAGGGAGGAATCGATACCACAGACATGGATTTGACTCTGCCTAAAACTGATTTAAGAGGCCCAAACTTTGATATCAAATCACCAGATATTGATGTCAATGGCCCTTCAGGCAAACTGAATATGCCAAAGTTTAAGATGCCCAGTTTTGGCATGTCAGGTTTGAAAGGGCCACATATGAATGTGGATGCTGACATTGATCAGCCTGACTTTAATCTGAGTGCATCAACTCCTAAACTAAATGCAGGGATAAATAGTCCTGATATTGATTTGCATGGACCTAATGTTGATCTTAAAGGTCCAAGAACAGACCTTACACTTCCAGACATTGACAAGCCTTCTGGAAAATTTAAAATGCCCACTTTAAAGATGCCTAAGTTTGGTGTCTCAGGACCAAAACTAAAGACACCTGACTATGATTTAAAGACCCCTGAAATGGATCTGTCAGCACCAAAGTTTAAGGGTGCTTTTGATTCCCCAGACCTGCATCTCAAAAGCCCCAATATAAAGGGAGGAATCGATACCCCAGACATGGATCTGACTCTGCCTACCAAAGTTTAAGGGTGCTTTTGATTCCCCAGACCTGCATCTCAAAAGCCCCAATATAAAGGGAGGAATTGATACCCCAGACATGGATCTGACTCTGCCTAAAACTGATTTAAGAGGCCCTAACTTTGATATCAAATCACCAGATATTGATGTCAATGGCCCTTCAGGCAAACTGAATATGCCAAAGTTTAAGATGCCCAGTTTTGGCATGTCAGGTTTGAAAGGGCCACATATGAATGTGGATGCTGACATTGATCAGCCTGACTTTAATCTGAGTGCATCAACTCCTAAACTAAATGCAGGGATAAATAGTCCTGATATTGATTTGCATGGACCTAATGTTGATCTTAAAGGTCCAAGAACAGACCTTACACTTCCAGACATTGACAAGCCTTCTGGAAAATTTAAAATGCCCACTTTAAAGATGCCTAAGTTTGGTGTCTCAGGACCAAAACTAAAGACACCTGACTATGATTTAAAGACCCCTGAAATGGATCTGTCAGCTCTAAAGTTTAAGGGTGCTTTTGATTCCCCAGACCTGAATCTCAAAAGCCCCAAAATAAAGGGAGGAATTGATACCCCAGATATGGATCTGACCCTCCCTCAAACTGACTTAAAAGGGCCAAACCTAGATATCAAAACACCTGACATTGATGTTAATGGCCCTTCAGGTAAATTGAATATGCCAAAGCTAAAAATGCCACGTTTTGGTCTGTCAGGTGTGAAAGGGCCACATATGAATGTGGATGCTGACATTGATCAGCCTGACCTCAATCTGAGTGCATCAGTTCCCAAACTAAATGCAGGGATAAATAGTCCTGATATTGATGTACATGGACCTAATGTTGATCTTAAAGGTCCAAAGACAGACTTGACTCTTTCAGACATTGACAGGCCTTCTGGAAAATTTAAAATGCCCACTTTAAAGATGCCTAAGTTTGGTGTCTCAGGACCAAAACTAAAGACGCCTGACTATGATTTAAAGACCCCTGAAATGGATCTGTCAGCAAAAGGGCCACGTATGAATGTGGATGCTGACATTGACAAGCCTGACCTTAATCTAAGTGCATCAACTCCCAAACTAAATGCAGGGATAAATAGTCCTGATATTGATGTACATGGACCTAATGTTGATCTTAAAGGTCCAAAGACAGACTTGACTCTTTCAGACATTGACAGGCCTTCTGGAAAATTTAAAATGCCCACTTTAAAGATGCCTAAGTTTGGTGTCTCGGGACCAAAAATAAAGACAACAGACTATGATTTGAATACACCTGAAATGGATCTGTCAGCTCCAAAGTTTAAGGCAGACTTTGATTCCCCGGACCTTAATATTAAAGGACTTAAGCCAGATGTCACAGGCCCAGACCTGAATCTTAAATTCCCTAAAGGTACATTTAAAGGACCAAACTTAAAGACACCCAATATTGACATGAATGCACCTGACCTCGACATCAATACCCCTTCAGGTAAACTGAAGCTGCCAAAATTTGGCTTCTCAGGTAGCAAGCCAAAAGCTCCAGATCTTAAAATCAAATCTCCAGACCTGAATCTCAAAAGCCCCAAAATAAAGGGAGGAATCGATACCCCAGATATGGATCTGACTCTGCCTCAAGCTGATTTAAAAGGCCCAAACCTAGATATCAAATCACCTGATATTGATGTTAATGGCCCATCAGGTAAATTGAATATGCCAAAGCTAAAGATGCCCAGTTTTGGGCTGTCAGGTTTGAAAGGGCCACATATGAATGTGGATACTGACATTGATCAGCCCGACCTTAATCTGAGAGCATCAGCTCCCAAACTAAATGCAGGCATAAATAGTCCTGATTTTGATGTACATGGACCAAATGTTGATCTTAAAGGACCAAGAACAGACCTTACTCTTCCAGACATGGACATACCATCTGGTAAAATGAAAATGCCTGCTTTTAAAATGCCTGACATTGGTTTCTCAGGACCCAAAATAAAGAAACCTGACTATGATCTAAAGACACCTAAAATGGACCACTCAGCTCCTAAAATTCATAAGACAGATATCACAGCCCCAGACATGAATGTTGATTTCCCTAAAGGCAAAATAAACAGACCAAATTACAAGAAACCCAGTGTTGATGTGAACGAAACAGACTTTGACATTGATGCTCCTTCGGGGAAACTGAAGCTCCAAGGAAACATGCCAGAAGGAAGAGATCTTAAATTCACCTCTCCAAAGATGAATCTCAAAACCCCCCGAATCAAAGGAGGAATTGATAGCTCTGATTTTCAAGGCCTGGGATCTGATGTAGATTTTGGTACCTATACAGAAATGCATGCTAACAGCTTTGCAGTTCCAAGAGGTAAAACAGAGGCAGCCAAAACGTATGATCTTGATGATCTCTCAAGAGACATCAGAATACCGACTCATCAGAAATATGGTGCCCCAGAATTGAACATGCAGGACCCCTATTATGACTTGAACAGAGACATGAACGTTTCTGAAAAAGCTCAGTGGTCTCCAATACCAGAACATCTCTCCAGCCAATCTAGAATCTCTGGAGTAGGTCCAACATCATCAGGTGTTTACAACACTTATAATGGGATGCCTAGAAGAGGTGGATGGGGAAGTGAGCAAACTGGCTATAGTGGCAGACAGACAATGAGACATATGCAAATACATGCAATGGATCTGGAGGTTCCAGAAAGCACTTTGAAAGGGTCGAAATTTAATGTTCTTAAACTAATATAGTAGGATAATTTAAAGGAAGGGACGTGGAAGAAAAGAGCGAGCTTGTCCTTGGCAATCATGTTTACAGGGCTGATAAGAACTAATAGCATATTAAAAACTAACTTAAAGATACTGTAAATGAGCTTGAGCAAACTTTTTTCTACATTACTTCTTAACACTGATGAACAAACCTTTCCATAAAGGAGATGTTAAACTTGCACTTACAGTATCATAGATCATTATGCTCATATAAATAATACAATCTTTTTTTCACATAACTTTATAATAAAATATGTGACAATATTATGTGGATCTTGCCTGATTAAATATTGTAAATCATATATATTTTGTAAATTATGTAAAAGGCTACAGTAATGTATAAATGCAATGTGGATGAGATATACACGTGTAAAATGTTTTGTCTGGAGAATGCCTCTGGTTTCTTGTCATTTTTTTGTTTGTTTGTTTTTAAGTTACTAATCTGATATAGTTAGGTACACAGGGCTAGGGGGATTTGTTTTGAAGGATGTATATAAATCATTTTAAAATGTTCCTACTGACATTGTTGTTTCAACATATACAAAAGCAGTTGTTGTTGTAGAATACTTCAAATGTTTTGTAATTGAAATATTTTAAAGTAGTTATTTTGAAAAAAAGTATTTACTTGAATGTTACTTTAAAAATATCTTGCTATTTACAGAGTATTTGCACATTATAACAAAATCTGCATATACAGTCATATGAAAAATTTAGGACACCCTATTGAATTCCATGGTTTTCTGTATCAGGACATAATAAAAAATTACCTGGTCCTTGGCAGGTCTTATATTTTGGAAAATAAAACCTCAGATGAACAACAATACATGATATATCACACTGTGTCATTATTTATTTAACAGAAATAAAGCCAAAATGGAAAAGCATTGTGTGACAAAGTTAGGACACCCTTACTGTTAACAAGGGTACATTTTAAGGGATTTAAGAGGGTAAGTAACGGTCAGGCACTGCTAATCAAATGCCTTTGATTAACTGATCATCAGCAAGTGTGAGCACATCTATAAAAGCAGAAGTTTTGGCAGTTTGCTGGTCTGAGCCTTCATTGTGTGTGTTAACACAATGCCAAAGAGGAAAGATTATTCACAAGTGGAAGACAAAACAGACACCAATCCTCCCAGAAGTGGACGTCCCAGCAAATTCACCCCAATATCAGACCGTGTAACGCTCAAAGAAATGGCAGACAGCCCAAGAACTTCACTGCAGACTCTACAGGCTTCAGTTAACATGTTAAATGATAAAGTTCATGACAGTTAAATTAGAAAAATATTGGACAAGTATGGCATGTTTGGAAGGCTTGCCAGAAGAAAGCCTCTTCTCTCTAAAGAAACATGGCAGCACGGTTTAGGTTTGCAAATTTGCATCTGAACAAACCATAAGACTTCTAGAACAATGTTCTTTGAACAGACGAGACCAAAGTGGAGATGTTTGGCCATAATGCACAGTGCCACGTTTGGTGAAAACCTAAAGAGCATGCCTAAAAGTCAAGCATGCTGGTGGAGGGCTGATGATTTTAGGTTTGTTTTGTAGCCATAGAACCTGGGCACCTCACAGTCATTGAGTCGACCATGAACTCCTCTGTATACCAAAGTATTCTAGAGTCAAATTTGAGACCATCCGTCCAACAGTTAAAGGGGTCATATGATATGAAAAAAAAGAACATTATTTTGTGTTTTTGGTGTAATGAAATGTGTTTATGCGGTTTAAGGTTAAAAAAACACATTATTTTCCACATACTGTACATTATTGTTTCTCCTCTATGCCCCGCCTTTCTGAAACGCGTCGATTTTTACAAAGCTCATCGGTCAGAAAAGCGAGGTGTGCTCTGATTGGCCAGCTATCCAGTGCGTTGTGATTGGCTGAATACCTCAAGCGTGTGACGGAAATGTTACGCCCCTACCATACTGTGATGCCCTGTCCGGCCATAAACATAAAACAATGTCTGCATTTGTGATCGGAGAAATGACAAACAAGTGCTACTCTACACCGCTCAAAACTCGCGTTAGAATCATCAGTGGCAAATGCTTTATATATAAAAAACGAACTTACAGTCTGTGAGTCAGAACAGCCAGCATTGTAGTCTACTCTACCAGGATCAGGAAACAGTCCTCCATAAAATGTGCTGCACACATCTGAATATTTGGGTTGAACTGTTCTGGAACAGTGTTGTAAATACAACTTAACCACTGATTTCTAGTCGTGTCCTCTTTTGGAAGGTCAAACAAAGTAGTTTCACTTTCACAACGAAACATAGAGTCTTCACGACATGGCGGCAGCAACAATACTACAGCGAGAATAAAAGTTACGCCTTCTTTTTTTTGAGTGAACATTTGGGTGGCGTTATGCAAATCTTCCCACATCATGACGTAGACATGTGGGGGCGTGTTAGAACGAGCCGTTTTAGGTAGGCGTGGTTGACTCTTAACTTTTATAAAGAATATCTCTTTGGATTTGATACTTTAGTCTTTGCAACTTTACAGATCTTATTTATGCACCAAGAGCTTGTAACACTTCAAAGAGACAGGAAAAATTGAAATCGCATCATATGACCCCTTTAAAGTTGGTCCAAAATTGGGTCATGCAATTGGACAATGATCCCAAGCACACCAGCAAATCTACAACAGAACGGCTGAAAAGAAAAGAATCATGGTGTTGCAAAAGTCCAGTCACAGTCCAGACTTCATCCTGACTGAAATTCTGTGGCAAGAGCTGGGCATAAACAAATGCCCACACACCTCAATACACTGGTAACGTTGTATAGAAGAGTGAGCCAAAATTCCTCCAGAACGATATGAGAGACTGATAAAGTCATACAGAAAATGACTTCAAGTTATTGCTGCTAAAAGTGGATCTACAGGCAATTTAATCATAGGGTGTCCTAACTTTGTCACACATGGCATTTCCATCTTGGACTAAAAAAATAATAATAATAATGACACACTGTGTGATATATCATGTGTTGTTGTTCATCTGAGGTTTTATTTTACAAATTTTAAGACCTGCCAAGGACCAGATATTTTTTTTTAATTATTATTATGTCCTGATACGGAAATCCATGGAATTATTTTTCACATGACTGTATATAAGAGTCTATTGTAGTCAGTCATGATCATTTAAAGGCCAACCTGGAAAGCTGTTTTGCATACAGAACGTGGACAGCAGTGTTTGTATTATTTAGAAACATTCTGGCCCATATAAGAATTGACCAAAAAAGTATTGTGTGAGGTAAAAATCCCAAAAGATTCACATATAAGAGTTAGCAAATTAGAGCTAAGAAATGTATGATTAAAAGTTAGAAAAATTCCCATGGACTTATTTGCATACCAAATTGTGATTGGTCTTCTGTCTGTCATCTATTTGCATGTCCTACTGATTGGGATTTTGTCAAACACATTTTGTACTGTACTGTGTAGATTCGTGTGTGCTGCTGCTGACTGTTTTGGAGCTGTGGCCTGGGGGGTGGGTGCGCTCTCTATCAGGTGCTGTTGTGATCGTGGGCATGTGTTTGAACCCAACCTGCAGGGTCATGTGTCCTGTTCTCACCTTTTACATCTCTTACCTGAGATACCAATGTATATTCTAACTATAACTTATATAAGTGATGTTAAATAAATTAAGTCATGGAAATTCATTGATCAAAACGTGAAAACTCAGAATCAAGAATATTATGTAATATGTTAGCCTATATTGGGTCTAAATGAACAAAACCTTTTGTTGTTCAAAATTACTTGTAACCATAATCTATTATAAGTTATTATAAGCAGTGTTGGACAGTAACCAGTTACTAAAAACTAGTTACAGTAACAATGTCTTCACGACATGGCGGCAGCAACAATACTACAGCGAGAATAAAAGTTACGCCTTCTTTTTTTTGAGTGAACATTTGGGTGGCGTTATGCAAATCTTCCCACATCATGACGTAGACATGTGGGGGCGTGTTAGAACGAGCCGTTTTAGGTAGGCGTGGTTGACTCTTAACTTTTATAAAGAATATCTCTTTGGATTTGATACTTTAGTCTTTGCAACTTTACAGATCTTATTTATGCACCAAGAGCTTGTAACACTTCAAAGAGACAGGAAAAATTGAAATCGCATCATATGACCCCTTTAAAGTTGGTCCAAAATTGGGTCATGCAATTGGACAATGATCCCAAGCACACCAGCAAATCTACAACAGAACGGCTGAAAAGAAAAGAATCATGGTGTTGCAAAAGTCCAGTCACAGTCCAGACTTCATCCTGACTGAAATTCTGTGGCAAGAGCTGGGCATAAACAAATGCCCACACACCTCAATACACTGGTAACGTTGTATAGAAGAGTGAGCCAAAATTCCTCCAGAACGATATGAGAGACTGATAAAGTCATACAGAAAATGACTTCAAGTTATTGCTGCTAAAAGTGGATCTACAGACAATTTAATCATAGGGTGTCCTAACTTTGTCACACATGGCATTTCCATCTTGGACTAAAAAAATAATAATAATAATGACACACTGTGTGATATATCATGTGTTGTTGTTCATCTGAGGTTTTATTTTCCAAATTTTAAGACCTGCCAAGGACCAGATATTTTTTTTTAATTATTATTATGTCCTGATACGGAAATCCATGGAATTATTTTTCACATGACTGTATATAAGAGTCTATTGTAGTCAGTCATGATCATTTAAAGGCCAACCTGGAAAGCTGTTTTGCATACAGAACGTGGACAGCAGTGTTTGTATTATTTAGAAACATTCTGGCCCATATAAGAATTGACCAAAAAAGTATTGTGTGAGGTAAAAATCCCAAAAGATTCACATATAAGAGTTAGCAAATTAGAGCTAAGAAATGTATGATTAAAAGTTAGAAAAATTCCCATGGACTTATTTGCATACCAAATTGTGATTGGTCTTCTGTCTGTCATCTATTTGCATGTCCTACTGATTGGGATTTTGTCAAACACATTTTGTACTGTACTGTGTAGATTCGTGTGTGCTGCTGCTGACTGTTTTGGAGCTGTGGCCTGGGGGGTGGGTGCGCTCTCTATCAGGTGCTGTTGTGATCGTGGGCATGTGTTTGAACCCAACCTGCAGGGTCATGTGTCCTGTTCTCACCTTTTACATCTCTTACCTGAGATACCAATGTATATTCTAACTATAACTTATATAAGTGATGTTAAATAAATTAAGTCATGGAAATTCATTGATCAAAACGTGAAAACTCAGAATCAAGAATATTATGTAATATGTTAGCCTATATTGGGTCTAAATGAACAAAACCTTTTGTTGTTCAAAATTACTTGTAACCATAATCTATTATAAGTTATTATAAGCAGTGTTGGACAGTAACCAGTTACTAAAAACTAGTTACAGTAACAATGTTACTTTTTGCAGTAACTATAGTGTAACTAATTAATATTAAGATTTCAGTAATAATATTAGTTACCATCCATAAAACAGCTCATTATTTAGTTACTTGTGATGCCTCAACCCCTACTGATTTGAAATCCAACAATCCAATAATTCCTAGATTTATTTTCATAATTTTCACAACTCACACAGGCGCATGAAGTCAGTGTATCGGGAAAGCTTGGAATATGGAAAAGCTTAGGAGATGGAAATATTGCCATTACACTGATTTTGTCAGGAGAAAAGGTGATCTAAACACGGATGTGTAAGTTGTGGCATTATGGACGTTGTGGCATTACTTTACTCTGGCATGCTCACGCACATCCATCTGATCCCGGTATAAATTATATTACTATAATTAAAAATGTGATTTCTTTTGATAAAATACATGAAATATAATCATATTTGGGTAACAGAGAAATTATATCTACAATTAGCTTCAAGCTACACATGACAATTAATACAACGCTTTTACTTAAAAGGCACTATCAAACACCATTGAGTGTTTCTAATAACTTCTGAATGCGATCAAATGTAGATTTTGGTCAAATGATGAGGCACACTCTAAAAAATGCTGGGTTAAAAAGGGACAAAACGTAGACATGTGGGGGCGTGTTAGAACGAGCCGTTTTAGGTAGGCGTGGTTGACTCTTAACTTTTATAAAGAATATCTCTTTGGATTTGATACTTTAGTCTTTGCAACTTTACAGATCTTATTTATGCACCAAGAGCTTGTAACACTTCAAAGAGACAGGAAAAATTGAAATCGCATCATATGACCCCTTTAAAGTTGGTCCAAAATTGGGTCATGCAATTGGACAATGATCCCAAGCACACCAGCAAATCTACAACAGAACGGCTGAAAAGAAAAGAATCATGGTGTTGCAAAAGTCCAGTCACAGTCCAGACTTCATCCTGACTGAAATTCTGTGGCAAGAGCTGGGCATAAACAAATGCCCACACACCTCAATACACTGGTAACGTTGTATAGAAGAGTGAGCCAAAATTCCTCCAGAACGATATGAGAGACTGATAAAGTCATACAGAAAATGACTTCAAGTTATTGCTGCTAAAAGTGGATCTACAGGCAATTTAATCATAGGGTGTCCTAACTTTGTCACACATGGCATTTCCATCTTGGACTAAAAAAATAATAATAATAATGACACACTGTGTGATATATCATGTGTTGTTGTTCATCTGAGGTTTTATTTTACAAATTTTAAGACCTGCCAAGGACCAGATATTTTTTTTTAATTATTATTATGTCCTGATACGGAAATCCATGGAATTATTTTTCACATGACTGTATATAAGAGTCTATTGTAGTCAGTCATGATCATTTAAAGGCCAACCTGGAAAGCTGTTTTGCATACAGAACGTGGACAGCAGTGTTTGTATTATTTAGAAACATTCTGGCCCATATAAGAATTGACCAAAAAAGTATTGTGTGAGGTAAAAATCCCAAAAGATTCACATATAAGAGTTAGCAAATTAGAGCTAAGAAATGTATGATTAAAAGTTAGAAAAATTCCCATGGACTTATTTGCATACCAAATTGTGATTGGTCTTCTGTCTGTCATCTATTTGCATGTCCTACTGATTGGGATTTTGTCAAACACATTTTGTACTGTACTGTGTAGATTCGTGTGTGCTGCTGCTGACTGTTTTGGAGCTGTGGCCTGGGGGGTGGGTGCGCTCTCTATCAGGTGCTGTTGTGATCGTGGGCATGTGTTTGAACCCAACCTGCAGGGTCATGTGTCCTGTTCTCACCTTTTACATCTCTTACCTGAGATACCAATGTATATTCTAACTATAACTTATATAAGTGATGTTAAATAAATTAAGTCATGGAAATTCATTGATCAAAACGTGAAAACTCAGAATCAAGAATATTATGTAATATGTTAGCCTATATTGGGTCTAAATGAACAAAACCTTTTGTTGTTCAAAATTACTTGTAACCATAATCTATTATAAGTTATTATAAGCAGTGTTGGACAGTAACCAGTTACTAAAAACTAGTTACAGTAACAATGTTACTTTTTGCAGTAACTATAGTGTAACTAATTAATATTAAGATTTCAGTAATAATATTAGTTACCATCCATAAAACAGCTCATTATTTAGTTACTTGTGATGCCTCAACCCCTACTGATTTGAAATCCAACAATCCAATAATTCCTAGATTTACTTTCATAATTTTCACAACTCACACAGGCGCATGAAGTCAGTGTATCGGGAAAGCTTGGAATATGGAAAAGCTTAGGAGATGGAAATATTGCCATTACACTGATTTTGTCAGGAGAAAAGGTGATCTAAACACGGATGTGTAAGTTGTGGCATTATGGACGTTGTGGCATTACTTTACTCTGGCATGCTCACGCACATCCATCTGATCCCGGTATAAATTATATTACTATAATTAAAAATGTGATTTCTTTTGATAAAATACATGAAATATAATCATATTTGGGTAACAGAGAAATTATATCTACAATTAGCTTCAAGCTACACATGACAATTAATACAACGCTTTTACTTAAAAGGCACTATCAAACACCATTGAGTGTTTCTAATAACTTCTGAATGCGATCAAATGTAGATTTTGGTCAAATGATGAGGCACACTCTAAAAAATGCTGGGTTAAAAAGGGACAAACCCAGCTATTGGGTTGTTTTGTCCCTTTTTAACCCAGCATTTTTTAGAGTGCAGAAATTTCTGTGGGGCGTGAAGGAAAAGTAATGTAGCCTAACTAGTTGTGTAACTAATTACTGTTGCCAGAAAGGAATGTTGCTTACTTATTAATAAGTAAAGTATTACTTTTGAAAGGAATAACTAGTAATGAGTAATAAATAAAACATTTTGGGTAATGAGCCCAACACTAATTATTAGAAATATGTAGTTCTTTTAGTCACCATTGTCATCAAATAAATAAATAAAACAAAAAAACGTTTTTATGGCTTTACAGCAGTAAAAATAATCTACTGTTGCGTTTTGGCAGATGCTACATTACCACTGCAACGTGACGCAAGGGGAAAAGGTTAGCCATGTAGTTACAGCTTTTGCTTTCCGGATGCAATCGGATTTATTCGGCCTCCTGCCTCCATTTTGTACCGACTCCGTGATTTCCGGGATTTCGTAGAACCGGGTTCGCTGAAGCCCAGTGGTCCAGCGCTGAAACAGTTGCCCTCAAACATTGGGCAGCGATGTTAATAGCAACAAGACATCCGGTTTTGAGAATCTTTGCCTTTTGTGCTTTCGTTTCACGCTGTGAACTGGTCGGAATAAGTTTACAGTGTTGGCCATAAACATTAGTATTGTATAGTACGTCAGTATGACAGCGGACCACAGTAAGCTCTCGTCCGACTAACGTTAGTCACTTAGTTAACTTACCAGGGGTTTTTCGGTGGCCAGTCAAACAGCGGATCATCGGCGAAAGAGCAGCCGGTTACTGTTTAACATTAATGCTGTTTGGGACAGGATCGCACATCGACCGACAGGTAAGATTTGCCAACGTCTTTACAGCCGGAAGAGTAACAAGTTGTCAACGTTGACCTGTTTGTTATTTAGCCTAACTTTACATTTCGCATGACATTTTCAACGAACACACAAGTGACTTTGCGCAAGGTTTTTGCACTTTTACTGTTTCACTTGGGTTGTTTTTATTAATCAACGAGTCGTTTAGACTGGTTTAGTGAACCTGTTCAACCGATTCACTGGAAAGATCCGACTCAAAAGAACGATTCGTTTATGAATCACCATCATTTGTGATGGTCACGACATCGGTAGTATTTCATAGGTTTTGGGTTTACCTAACACATACCTGTACGTGCTTGAACCTGCATCACATTTCACGATTGTTCAGGATCTTGTATGGCATGACAAGTATGGTCACTTCAGTCGCTGACTATTTACGTGCTTGTTGACTCATGTTAACCAACACATACACAGCATCATTTTCACAAGCTGGTTTGACTTCTTCCATTATTCATTTCTTTCTTTTTGCTCTACAATTACATAGATTTTAAGGCTATCAACACGTTGGTCTGACGTGACAGTAGTTTATAATACTGATCTTTAATATTATATGCTCCAAATATGGTATTTGCATCTGTATTATGGTTTTTAGAGGCTAAAGCTTTTAGAGGGCCAAACTACCAAAGTCCTCAAACTGAAGTACGTTTTTAGAATTATACTAAAAGGCCTTTTACTTACTAAAAAAAGGTAAACTATCAGTCAGACAACAGAAGGCATGTGCAACAGGATTTTCATCAAAGTTTTGATCACTTTAGATTCTTAGACGTTTAGAAGTTTACATATCAAATATGATACTGCAGGCTTAGATAAGGTTCTGGGTGACCTCTGGTCAGAAGACATTTACTTTTACAACTGCCAAGCAAAAATGTGCATACGACATCAAGTCTGCACTTTCCTTACAGTTAACAGCTGTGTAAAATACATCAACTGCTTATTGGATTAAATGACAGCCTTATTTGACACCAGGCATCTTGATGTGAATCTTGCGTTCCAGCAGCTGTCGGTTTAAGTGCAGAAACTTTAAAGACTTCCCTACATTTTTCACATGTGCTTTTATGCGTACCACAAACAGATTCTTGCAACAGTTGGGTGTCATAAACAAGGCCCTTGTCTGATTTGGCAAGGCTGATTTTGTTTGCCTGTAATGTGACAATGTGAGGAATGCCAAGCTTATTTTTCTGGATCTAAAATGTTTTGTAGTGCATTAAATCATTAAAAAGTCACCATTCTGTTATTTCCTCACCCTCAAGTTGTTCTAAGCCTGTATGAATTTCTTTCTTTTGCTGAACACTAAAGAAGATATTTTGATATGTTGGTTTCTGGTCACCATTGACTTCTATAGTATTTTTTTCACCATCAGACAACATCTTCTTTTATGCTCAATAGAAGAAAGAAACAGAATTTTCCTTTTTCCCTTTAATTGTATAGAGACTGTGTATTTGTTTACCTCTAAAGGTCACCATGTTTAAAAGTGGGTTGACGAGTTTGTGACAGGAGCTGGTTTATTTCTTTATTGTAGTGTCCATGTGTTGACAATCACATGTAGATTTCAGGAATCAAACCATGTGCAGTATTAGTTTTGGAGATTTGTGTGGAACTTTCGTAGTTTTATTTATTAGTCATGTTCATAGACAAAGCCATGATTAAATAGAGCAGCAATAGGCGTTTCGATAACAGCGTATAATAGCTTGAATGTAATGAAGATGAGCCATTCGGGTCACAAGCATACCGTTTTTATTCATGTTTGCCGCAGTCCTTGTGCTTCACCCATTTTCTCACTTCCATTAGTCGTTGTGTGGCAGCAGATCCTGCTTAGCAACATTCCGGTTATTCCTGCTGAAGGTTTGTATCTCCCACTTCATCTGTGGACACGTGAGCGCCTCTACAAAGCAAGGAAGATCAACCTGTCAGATTAAAAAAAAAAAAAAAAAAAGACAAATATGGGTTTTTCGTTTGAATGTTTTAGAATTATTCTATAGTTACTATGTGGAGGAGCTTCCTGGCCGCTGTTAAGTAGTTCCTGGAACAGTCAGGTGGTTTCGGAGGTACTGTGATGCTACATTGATGACGTTAACCACTGATGAATATGTCACTCGCTATCTTTTAAAGCACTTATTTTAGTTAATTTACCTGAAGCTGTGCATGGAAGTCTGATGGCTGTAATTCTTTCACCTTGCAGAGTTTTTGTGAGAACATAAGACCAAGTGCTGAAGATTGAGGTGACTGTCGACGTCTTTCGAATTTGCCAGGATGCCTATTCCTCCTCCGCCTGGACCTCCACCCCCCCCCACCTTTAACCAGGTCAGTGTACAGCAAGGAGCAGGTAGCATGTGTCTCGTCTCACTGCAGCGATTTATCCTCTTGTTGTTTCCTTAATTCATGTTACCTTTTTTCAACTCCCTTTTTTATTTTTTTGTCAATGATGAATAAAAAGAAAAGAAAATTGTTTAAAACTCTAGATTAAAGCACATGTGCCAAGATCTTAAAAAGTTTTCATGTTTTTATGTTTATATATTTTTATGAAATTATATTGCTGAATTATTAATTTAGGAGTGTCGTTAGGTTTAATTAAGAAATATCATTACGTTTTATATATTTTTTTAAGTTTTTTTTTTTTTTTGGACCAAAAATATCTATTATTAATTTAGAAATATAATTGTTTAGTTTATTTCCGAAAATATAATTTATATGATATTTTACAAAAAATTCAAATAATCTTATAGTTTAAGAGACTGACTTTGGCACAGAGCCACGAGGGTCTGCAGAGGTCCTCTCTTATTATATAATTGTGTGTAATAAATGGTTTTTCCCCCCTGCATGTTGGTTTCACCACATGACTTTCATTTGCTGGACTTTTAAAAATATGAATAAACAGTAAAGCATTTGTTACTTTTTTCAATACATAATAATAAAAGATTATGCATTCTTGAAAAAAAAAGATTAATGATTAAGATAAGATTAGTGTTTTTAAAAAATGTATTCAGTCTTTGTGCCCCACAAAAAATATCATAATGAATTTTAATTCAGAAATTACCAACAAATCTCATCTTAGAAGAGAAATTCAAGTCAATGAATTGCATTTTTTATGTATTTTTTTATAAATGAAGAGATCACTTTTTCAACATACAAATGTATTAACTTTCAGGCAAACACCACACCTCCAAAACTTAATCGAGATGACGCGAAAGGAAGAGGAGCTCTGCTGTCAGACATCTGCAAAGGCACCAACCTGAAGAAGACCACTGTGGTCAATGACAGAAGTGCACCTATAATTGAAAGTAAGTCATCTGTAGTGCACTACTGCTGAAAATACAATTAATGTTTGACGTGACCCAGCTAACCATGCAGTGTTTTTGTTTTGGCCTGAAGGTCGAGGTGGCAGCAGTGGCGGAGGTGGCGGCGGTGGCGGTGGCGGAGGCGGAGGCGGTTCTGGGCCAATGGCCATGGGAGGGCTGTTCAGTGGAGGAGTGCCCAAATTACGACCAATCGGAGGTATGTACCCCTTTCACAGTAGTGTAGTGCAGTGATTTTTTTTTTTAGGGCTGCTCGATATGTCAAAATAAAATCTATGTCTATAAATATATGCTTTAGCGTTTTGGAGTGAAGTGCCATTTACACACGTGTAGTTCATGAGAACGGCTTGGTTCATTTTTAATTGCGTGCAACCCTTTAAAATAAAATATTGATGGTTTACTTTTTGAAAATAAAGAAAGTAAGACAAAAATATTAGTATTGTAATTTTTATTACTCTTTTTATTTTGCAGTATTGTTACAATATAGTTCTTATTTTTAGTATTTTAAATTCAGAATAATCACAATTATTTTATAGTCATATTTAATCAATCAAAAGCAGTGGAAATGTGGCCTGTGAAACATCCACGTTTTTCTCAAATTGTTGAGTCCTAAAAGGATTTCACAGTCAAAACAATTCTTCAGAGTAAAACGATTTCAAAATTATTTTTTATTTTCTATGCAGATGCACTACCCTACAAAATCCCCCTGCTAACTCTAGAATGATTCATTCTTTCCAAATATGAAATCATCTGGTGAAAATGCATGTTTTTCATAATTTTTTCATATCGTAATATATATTGCAGGAAAAAATGTTTTGCAGTGTCACTTTTTCCCAATATCGTGCAGCCGTAATTATTATCTGAAAGTGTTTTATTAATGTGTCCACACAGACAGCTCTGTAGGAAGGTCAGCGCTGCGGCCGCCTGGCTCTAGGCCTGCAGTACCTCGTGCTGCGGGTCATTCTGAACCAGACTGCTCCGGTCGTGGTGATGGAGGTCGCTCCTCACCTCCAGAACAGGCACGAAATCAACGTCTCTCTGTGCCAGACGTCTCCAAACCGTCTGCTGCCAGCAGCTCCTCAAAACCCACCAACTCCGCTCCACCTCCACCCCCACCATTCAGTCGCGGTGGCAATCGTGGACCCACCTCAGGCCAACAGGGTTCTGGGGCACACAGTCGTGAGAAACCCCTTCCACCACCGCCTGCAAGCAAGGGGCCTCCACTGCCACCATCTTCTGCTCGGGATGGGCCTTCTAGACATCCCCCTATTTCATCTCGCTCCTCTTCATCCTCCTCCCCTTCCTCAAATGCACCTCCACCTCTTCCTCCTTATCGTCAGCCGACTAATGCTGCAAATGGTGACCCGGCCCCTGTGTTGCCGCAGAGACAAAACTCGCTGAACAAGAGAAGCCATGCCAATGCTAACGTCCGTAGCCAGGCTCCTCCTCCTCCACCCCCTGCCCAGCAGAACAGACGACCCCCACCACCATCACGTGATCCAGTGGGGCGTAGCACAGGTAAAATACAAGCTGAAAATTCTCTCACTATAGACCTTAATCAGGATAGCACCATATTTTTAATGGGAATGAAAACAAGGCTGTGAGGATAAAAGTACGGTGTGTTCAATGCATTATACTGTTGTTTACCATCATACCGATTGTCTTTCCGGGGAGGAAAAAAAACACTAAGTTTTGAGAGTTGTGAAAATTACGTGATCTAGGACAATTATATAGTGAATGCCATTGTAAAGACTGTAAATCTATCCATCACAGCCTCATTTTCATCCATGTTAAATTTAATATGGCATCTAACTTGACTAAGGTCTATAGAATGCATTAGTGCCTGGCCACTTTTTCGGGCGGCCTTAGTTCCTGAAATATTTTTCTCATAAGGATTTTAAATTCTTCGTTAAAGAGTTATAAAAAAAATGAACTAAGCCAACCAGCTAGAGGGTGAATCACATCAAAAGTATTTGAAAATCTGACAAAAAACAAAGGTACAAGACTGTGTACTTAACAGCTTTAAGAAAGAAAAGAACTGCAATCACGAATGGTACAATCAAAATTAAAACAATGAAAAAAATATAGAAGTATTGATCACAATTTGGCGGTTTGATGGCTTCAACATAAGTGTATACCATTTATTAACAACCTCTTAGCTCACTGTAGGCCTGTTTTATAAGTTGTATGTTTATAAATTATTGTTCAAAATCAACTGACCCCTCGCAAATACCCGCCCCCCTTGGTTACTGGTGCAACGTCCGACAAGCCATGGCGCTCTCACGCCACACATCATGTTCTCACGTAGTGAAAAATACATTGCGGAGCAAAGAGGACACTGAAATCACGCCGACAGACAAGACAGAGCAGGTTACTTCAGGTATGAAACAAAGTGTCAGCTTTCAAAATTATTATTATTATTTTTTTTTTAAAGAAATTCAAGCAATAAATACCATTTTGTGGCTCTGTAATGTGTCATGTGCTGTAGCGCCTCAGCTCAAGCGGCACATGAACCAATCATCTCTTCCTCTTTACTAGTTATAGCACGTAATGAACATGAATGAACATCAGAAGATATCTTGTTTTAACCACGGAAAGACGTCAATATACATAATTTTTCTTTTTCAAGTTCAAGTCCACCACGTTCTACTCTCCTGCCTGGTTTGTTTGTCAGACAAAATGGCAGATTCTGCGTTATGATTGGTCAGATCGCCTGTCAATCAAACTCCGGGTGAAGGCTCTATGGAGAAAATTAATGCAACTTTACTTCCAGGAACCTGACTGTTGCTCTCTATTGCCAGTCTAAAACCATATTAACATGTGGAAGTTGGCCGCAATGTTCACAATACTTTGCAGAGATGCAAGCTCTAAAAATAATGAAAAGGCACCATAAAATCACCAAAAATATTTTTGTATTGGTCTTGTACGCTATATTCCAAGTCTTCTGAAGCTGTACGATAGATTTGTAAGAAACTGAATGAAATTTTGGTCACACAAAGCTATCGCAACACTTCTGAAGATTTTAAATTTAGCAAACAAGGAATAAATAATATATTTGTAGTGATTTTATGATGCTTCTTTGTCATTTTTAGGGCTTGACAAAAGTGATGCACCAAAATTTTGGCAACTGAAATTATTTGGCCGAAAAGAATAATTTTTGGTTTTGGACAAAATAGTATTGGAGGACCTAAATTATTGACTGAAACAGTGACATTTTATTAGCTCTTCTCTGTGGAAGCCCGTTTCAGCCACTGAATAAAAAATAAAAAAAAAGCGGTAATTGCAACTTTTTATCTCACAATTCAGACTTTTTTTCTCAGAATTGTGAGATATAAACTCGCAATTCTGAGAACAAATCAGTCTTTTTTCCCCCCTTAAAATTGGACTTCAATTGCGAGTTTATATCACACAATTCTGACTTTAGCCTATAACTCGCAATTGCGAGTTTATATCTCACAATTCTGAGATATAAAGTCAGAATTGCAAGAAAAAAAGTCAGAATTGCGAGTTTTTATCTCGCAATTCTGACTTATTTTAAAAAAAATTTGACATTTTCTTTTTTTTTTTTTTTTTTTTTATTCAGTGGTGGAAACGGGCTTCCATACTTCTCTGATGTGTTTTGATCTTCATTATCTATTTAATGTAGAGATGCACCGATCGATTGGCCAGGGATCGGAATCGGGCAATTTTCCTCATGATCGGCCCGGATCGGTGACCGGCCGGTCAGTCTCACTTCTTTTTCCGATTCCGAGCCGATCCGTTTTGTTACCAGCGACACAGGCAATAACGTCAGCCACACATTCTCGCTCTCTTCTCTCGCTCCGGTTAAATAGTGCTTGTATTGCACATTATTTTAGTCATTCCCGCAGGTTTCGCGCTTACACCAAACGTGTGCGCACCACCACTGATCTATATTATTAGTGGAGCGCACAAGCCGCGCTCAGTCTCAAACAGCTTGTGAGCCACAAATACCAAAATGAGTGGCTAACTATGCTAAAACGTTCAAATACATACAAAATTGTCAAAATGCCCGTCTTGGCGAGTATCCAGTTGAACACAGGCAGATTTGGAAAGTTAAATAATTGAGAAAGAGAACACGTTGTGTAACACTATATTGGGTGCGTTGATAAACTCTTAAAGGGACCGCAGTCCAATATTCCTGCTGCTGTCTGTCATTTTAATCAAAGAACAAAAGACAAAGAAAA